TGGTAGTGGTTGTGGTGGTGGTGGTGGGTTGTGGTGGTGGTGGTGGTGGTGGCGGTGGTGGTGGTTGTGGTGGTTGTGTTGGTGGTGGTGGTGGTGTGGTGGTTTGTGATGTTTGTGGTGGTGGTGGTGCTTGTGGCGGTGGTTGTGGTGGTGGTGTGGTGGTTTGTTGTGGTGGTGGTGGTGGTGGTGATGGGTGGTGGTGGTGGTGGTTGTTTGTGATGGCGGTGTTGGTGGGTTGTGGTTGTGGTGGTGGCGGTGGTGGTGGTGGCGGTGGGGTTGGTGGTGGTGGTGGTGGCGGTGGTTGTGGTGATTTGTGGTGGCGTGGTGGTGGTGGTAGGTTGTGCTGCTGGCACTGGTGGCTGTGGTTGTGGCGGCGGTGGTGGTGTGGTAGATTGTGGTGGTGGTGGTAGTGGTGGTGGGTTGTTGTGGTGGTGGTGGTGTAGTGGTTTGTGGTGGTGGTGGCTGTGGTGGTGTGGTGGTTGTGTGGTGGGTTCGTGGTGGTGGTGGTTTGAGGTGATGGTGGTAATGGTGGTGGCGGTGGTGGTGGTGTGGTGGTTTGTGGTGGTGGTGGTGGTTGTGGTGTTGGTGGTGGTGGTGGTGGAGCTGCTGGTGGTGGTGCTGGTGGTGGTGCTGCTGGTGGGTGGTGGGTGGTGGGTGGTGGTTGTGGTGGTGGTTTTGGTGGTGGTGGTGTGGTGTTTGATTATGATGGTTGTGGTGGTGGTGGTGGGTTGTGGTAATGGTGGTGGTGGTGGCGGTGGTTATGGTGATGGTGGTGGTGGTGTGGTGGCGTTTTTGGTGGTGGTGGTGGTGTTGTGGAAGTGGTGTGGTGGTGTGGTGGTGTGGTGGTGTGGTGGTTTGTGGTGGTGTGGTGGTTTGTGGTTGGGTGCGGTGGTGGTATGGTCCTTTGGAGCGTCGGCCTATCTGGCTGTTCCCAGTTCTGTACCGTCTGTGGGCGGCGGGCCGCGCTCGCTTGTTTGCCCAGTGGAGGTGCAGCTGGGAGGGCGCAGAGTGGCGGCAAGGGGCGGAAGAACTCGCGAGGGGAGCTTGCCTTGGAATTGGAGGCGGCCGACGCCTTGTCGGAAGAGGTCGTCGGCGCGGCGCTGGATTGGCGCAAGGCTTATAACCAGGTCGACCTCCGGACCCTCCCGACGCGCGTGCTGGGGTCCCGGACCGAGTGTCGAAACTAGCGATGGCTGCCTACGCCGCCCGCAGGCGTGTTCGGGTGGGCAAGGCCATCGGCGAACCGTGGCGGCCTTCCCGGGGCCTCCTTCCAGGCTGCCCGTTAGCGGTGTTCTTCCTGGCGGTGTTGACCTGGCCATGGATGACGGCCACTGGCCGGCTGGACGACCAGCTGCGCCAGCGCGTCTATGTGGATGACTTTACGCTTTGGGCGCGGACGGCGGCAGAGGACAGCGCGGGCGCCGCCGAGGCGGTGCGAGACGCGCTGCGCCTCATTGCCTCGTTCGAGGCAGCGATGGGGTGGACACTTAATTGCGCCAAGAGCCGGCAGTTCGCGAGCAGCAGGGACTTGCGGCGTTGGCTCGCGGAGCAGGTCCCGGACATCCAGGCTAGCCTTGAGTTTCGGGACCTGGGCGTCGCCGTCACAGCTGGCCGGGCCAGGCGCTGCGCGGTCGCGGCGGCGCGGGTGCATGGGGCGTCCACGCGTTTCGCCCAACTCGGCCGCTTGCCGCTCCGCTTCAGCAGCCGCTGCCTGCTTGGCGCTGCAGCTGGCACGGCGGCGGGCATGTACGGCGCAGCTTGTGGGCGGCCTCCGGTTCGCGAGTTGGCCGGCCTGCGTGCCGCGGCGAAGAGGTCGGTTTGCCGCGGCGGTCTGCGCGCCTCGGCGGAGATCGTTTTCGGCGTCCTGGCGCCGAGCTGGCGCCTTGACCCGCTGGCGGTGACAGTGCTCGCGCCGCTGTGGCAGGCTGCCGGGGCCCTCCGACGCCGGCGGTTCCCTGGGGATTTTTGGAGGGAGGCCGCGGGCGCCATGGCTGCCGGGCACGGCTGGCGCTTCGGTCCGATCGCCGCCGCGATCCGCAGCATGGCTGAGCTGCACCTGGGCGCTGATGTCGAAGCCTGGATGGGCATCCCCGCCGCCCCAGACGGCTGGCGCCCAGCAGCCCGCGCCCTTCTTGATACGCGCGCGGTGTTGTTGGAAACCTGGGGGCGGCGAGAGGCCCGCGAGGTCGCGCGGCGAAGGGCCGATTTCCAGAGTCTGGCGGAGGGGATCGACCGCTGGGCGACGTGCCAGCTCCTGGAGTCCGGGAAGCTGGCACCTGACGCCGCCGGCGCGCTACGGACGGTGATCTCCGGCAAATGTGATCACGGAGTCCGTGGCGGCAAAATGGGGGCGGCCGCCAGCATGCCCTCATTGCAGCGCCGCGGTGGAGGACCTCGAGCACCGACTGTGACTTTGCCCGCGGTGGGAGACCACCCGCGCCGCGGCGTTGGCGCGCAGCGGCTTCACCCTGGCGGCCGCCCGCGCCTGCCTGCCAACCGAGGTCGCGCGCAGCGCGGTGCTGCCTCTGGACGCCCACTTGGAGGCAAAGCGAGCGACGCCCAGGAGGCGCTCCAGCTGCCGCCGCTGCCAGACCCCGCCACGCCAGAGCTGCCGCAGGGGAGGGTCCGCGCTTGGACTGACGGTTCTTGCCTGCACCCAGCCGACCCGCTGCTCGCTCGAGGCGGCTGGAGCGCGCGCCTCGAAGGCCCCCCCGTCGGGCACCTCGACAGCCACGGCCCTGTGGACGGCCGCCAGACGGCGCAGCGCGCGGAGCTTTGGGCTGCCACGCGCGCGTGCAGCCTGGCCGGGGCGGCAGTGGACATCGTCACCGACTCGCGATTCGTTGCGCGTGGGGTGGTCGCGCTGCGCGGCGGCGCGAACCCGATGAATTGACATCATGCTGATTTTGTGGGTGGCGATCGCGCCGCTCTGCCGCTCCGGGCTGCTGCGGGCTCGCTGGGTGAAAGCTCATTTGACCCGGGTGGAGGCTGCCGATCGGGGCATCTCGGCGGAGGACTGGGCCGGGAACGACGCGGCGAACACTTTGGCCGGCGCTGGCGCAAAGGCTCGGCTCCCACCGCTGGCGTTCCTCCAGCAGCGCACGCGGCAGTTGGAGGCGCTCGCGGCGGTCCAGCGCGCGGCGGCCGCCGTGGAGCCGGTAGCCCTGAAGGCCAACCACGGCCGCGCCGGCCCAGCTGGGCCCAGAGCCCGGCGCCGCCGGGCGGCGCCAGGCCACTGCCGCAGACGGGCGCCGCGAGAGGGGGATGCGGCAGCAGTCGCCGCCGCCGCAGCGCCGCGGGCTCGGGCGCGGCCTGGGCCGCCAGCGGTTGCCGCGCCCCCCGAGCACGGCCCTGGGCAGGCGGCCGCGGCGAGGGCGTTGTTTGAAGGCGACGCCTGGCTACCGCATGCGGCGGTGCAGGGCCCGGCGTGGGTCGCTTGCCTGAAGTGCGGGTGTTGGGCGCCGTGCTGGCGGCGGCTCGCGGGCCGGCCCTGCGGCGGGTGGGCTCCCGCGTTGCCGCGGCGGGCCGCCATGCTGCTCCTGCTGCCTGCAGAGCCCGCTGGCGGCCGCGACGCCGAGTGGCGCGCGGCCCTGCGGGCTCGTCTGCAAGAGCGGCTGGGCGCCCCTGAGTAATCGGGTGGGCGCGCGCCGGGGCCGCCCCGAGGGCGGCGGCGCGGCCGCTGTTGTTCCCCCTCTGCCTCCCGCCACTCCCCCCCTTCTCTTTGTCCCCGCCTTGCCACTGGGCTCCTGCGCCCTGGTAGAAGGTGTGGTGGTGGTGGTGGTGTGGTGGTTTGTGGTGGGTTGTGATGGCTTGTGGTGGTGGTGGGTTGTGGTGTGGTGGCGTTTTTGGTGGTGGTGGTGGTGGTGGTGGTGGTGGTGGTGGTGGTGGTGGTGGTGGTGGTGGTGGTGGTGGTGGTGGTGGTGGTGGTGGTGGTGTAGTGGTTTGTGGTGATGGCGATGGTTGTGGTGGGTTGTGGTGATTGTGGTGCTGGTGGTAATTACTTGTGGTGCCGGTGGTGTGGTGGTTTGTGGTGGTGGTGGCGTGGCTTTCGGGTCTTCCCGCCACCGTGTTTTGTTTTTGGGTCAGAGTTCTAATGGATGCCTCTTGTGGTCTCGTCAGATGGGTCTCGGGGGCGTCTGAGGAGTATTTGTGATGCCACGTGGGCCTTCCTAAGGGCCTATCGGTGGCTTTTGGGGGGCGATGGCTCGATATGGCGTCTGTGTTTCCCCTCTGGGCCCTCTCTGGTCATCGTCGCTGCGTCCCCGCCGTCGGCGCTGCTGGCCGCCGCCAGCGCCGGCGCCGGCGCCAGCGCGGGGGGGGGGGTTGGACCCCCCCCCGTGTGCTCTCTCTGGTCATCGTCGCTGCGTCCCCGCCGTCGGCGCTGCTGGCCGCCGCCAGCGCATGCGCCGCCAGCGCAGGCGCCGGGGGAGGGGGGGGGGCGGTTCGGACCCCCCCCCTTCTGGGAGAGCGGGGGGGGTCGGGAGAGGGGGGGGGTGGGGGGAGGGGAGTCCCGCTGTTTCCAATCGACGGCGCCGAGTGTTGGGGGGCGGGGGGCCCACCCCCAGGTTCGAAACACGCGCTGCCGACTGTTCGCAAAGCGGGCGCCCGTGAAACGCGTTCCCTCGAAGGCCTCGACCCTCGACCGATCGACGACGACGATGACGACGACGACGACGACGACCTCCGATGTCCTGTCGGAGCAACCCAGAGCTTCCATGAACATCCGGAATGTCCTCAAACATCGAAGAGTTCGCGCAAACATGTACTCTTCATTACAGCAACCAGAAGTCATTCCAATCAAACGCGACGGCGACAACGGCAACCACGACGCCGGTCCCCAGAGGCTCCCCGAAGGCTTCGGATTCGGAGGCCCTTGGAGGCTTTAAAAAACCCCGAAAGGTTCCAAACGATGACGAAGATCTCCACCCCGGAATCTCGATCACCAATGGACCGATCGTTCGACGGCGGCGGCGACGACGACGACGACCCCTCCCTGCGAGGACAGCGATGGCGACTGGCGGCTCGGCTGCGCGCGCCGCCGGAGCGGTAGCGTCAGCAGCAGCAGCAGCTCCGACGGCTCCCCGGCCTCCTGCGACGAGGACGCCGCCCCGGGGCGCTGCCCCAGGCCCCCCCGCAGGGGTCCGAGCACATGGGGTCGGAGGGGCGCGCCGCATTACCGATGCATCGGCGGTGCGGCTCGATGTAGAGCTCGATTTCCTCCACGCCGACGTCGCCGCTGCATCGCCGATGCATCGGCGATGCAGCGGCGATGCGGCGCAATGCTCCGGCCACATCTACCCGGACCCCATTTGGGAGGCCTCCAGTTGGGAGTGGGGGTCGGGTTTCGAGCGTCGAGCTTCGAGGAGCGAGGTTTTCGAGCGGGTTCCGCTTCTAGGGGGGCTCCTCATCGCCACGGTCGGAACCGCTTCAAGATTCTAGCTGAGCGACGCAATAAAAGGGGGTCGTCTGCGCCGACACTTGCGCGAATCTGCCTGCGTAAGGTCGTGCGTAAGCAACCTCGCTTCAAATGTGGCGTGCCGCGCGGGCGGCCCGCGTATGCCGCGGCTTAACGTCGTTACGTCACCTCGCATAAGACCCGTTTTTGATCATCGCTCAGCTTGGACAGACCCCAAGAAAGGTCTGGGGGGCTCGATGTTTGACCCCCTGCCCCAAGACCCCCTCGCGTTGTGAAGCAATCGCGACGGGAGGCTGTTGGTTATTTTCGGCTTCCAGTGGCCCTCTCACTGGGCCTGGGGATGGCCAAAACAGTTCGGGGTGAACTAGATGCATCGGGGAATGAGTCCAGACCTCTAGGGGCGAAGGGGGGGCTTCGAGTGTTGTATTCCCTTTCTTCAGTTCGAACGAGTCCCGGATTTTGTAAATTTTCTTAGTTGTTCTTCGATTTCGGACTCTTGGGGCCCATCTCGAGAGGGGCACGAAAGTGAGGAACGTCCGCGATCCTCGACCATCGATCCGCAAGCCTCGACCGTGGACCGACGAGGACGAGGACGCGTTGGAGTGGGCGGTCGGGCGGGACATAAGAGCGTGCGGGCGGGCGGGGCATGTAGTGTCGGTTGCGGTCGTGGACGGTGCGAGGTTGGTGGTGAAGACACCCGGAACAAAAACAAAAAAACGATTAAGAGTTCGACGACGGCGACGACGACGACGACGACGGTGACGACGACGACGGGCGGGACATCAAAGCGGACGTGCCTGGATCCTGGATTCTCGAGGCTTGATCTTCGATCGAGGACCCTCGTCTGTCGATCCTCGATCCTCGTCGCGTGGCCCAAGAAGGCGAGAGCGACGACGACGACGACGACGACGATGAGGACGAAGACGACGACGACGACGACGACCGCGACGACGACGACGACGACGACGACGACGGCCGCGACGACGACGAAGATGTCGTCGACGACGACGACGACGACGACGACGACGACGACGACGACGACGACGACGACGACCGCGACGACGACGACGGCTGCGGCGGCGAGGACGACGACGACGACGACGGCGACGACGACGACGGACGACGACGACCGCCCGAGGACGGAGACGGCGGCCTCGCGGACGCGCTGCGCGCCCTGCGCAGGGCGCCGGAGGAGCAGAGGCGGACCGCGATCCAGGCCATGCCGCAGGAGTGGCCCGGGGCGGCCCCCGCGGGGCGCTGCGGGGGCCCGCGGGCGGAGGGCAGCGGGGAAGCAGTGCGCGGTCGGGAAAGTCGTTGTGGGCTGGGGCCGTCGCGCCGCCGAGGCCGGTCCACCACGCTTCGGCGCGACATGCTGCGGTCAACCCGCAGAAGAAGGGTGGGCAGCCTTTCCGAGGAGGAGGCGGAGGAGGAGGAGGAGGAGGAGGAGGAGGAGGAGGAGGAGGAGGAGGAGGAGGAGGGGAGGAGGGGGAGGAGGGGAGGAGGAGAGGAGGGGGGAGGGGGAGGAGGAGGAGGAGGAGAGGAGAGGAGGGAGGCAGGGGAGGGCAGGAGGGGCAGGAGGGAGGAGGGGAGGCAGGAGGAGGTAGGAGGAGGAGGAGGGGGTGAGGAGGAGCCGGAGGAGGAGGGAGGAGGAGGAGGAGGAGGAGGAGGATTTCTCGATCCGTCCTTGGCCGCTTTCGCAGGCCGCGCCCCGTTCGGAAAGTCTCGAAGCGGCCTTCCAGGGTCCAGGGCCCTTGCATCCTCATCGTGCTTCCGGATTATACGGGCGGACCGCATCCATGTCCCAGTCGTCGTGCGTCCACGTCCCGAGCCTCTCCAGGCCTATCCGCTCGCAGGGCATAGCGTGTTGCCGGGGCAGCCGCCGCGGCACGTTGGGGGTATCGAGGATTGCGAGAGATTGGTCCTCCTAAGGCTCCCTGATCGGCCCCTCTGCTGCCACCGCGGGACCCGAGGGTGCGTCGCAATGGCTGGAGTGTGTTCCCAACCATCCTGTGCTGTTGGGGTCTACTTCGAGTCAGCAGCGCCCCGCGTCTTTCCTTCTCACCTCCTCCCCCTCTCGCCGTCGTCGTCGACATCAGCATTCTCATCTTCAGCGTTACCGTCGTCATCTCATCATCATCATCATCAGCAGCAGCAGCAGCATCAGCATCATCATCATCAGCATCATCACCACCACCAGCAGCAGCAACAGCATCATCATCATCAGCAGCATCATCATCGTCGTCGTCATCGTCGTCGTCATCATCAGCATATTTCATCAGCAGCAGCATCATCATAATCAGCAGCAGCAGTAGCAGCAGCACCAGCAGCATCAGGATCACCCGCATCACCATAGCACTACCACCCTCATCTGTCAAATTTCGGAATACTTCTGAGACGCTTTTTGGGCCCATACTACGCCGTTGCAAAAGTTCGTCACGTTTTATGGGGGCGTCAAGATAATGCAGGTTTCGTCCGTCACGTCTTCGTGGGCGGGCGGGCGGAGGCTGACTCCTCCTGTCCCGACCGCGACAAGCTGACCCCCTTCCCTCCTTAGCATTCCAGCGGGCTGGTTCAAGAGCGGTCGGATCAAAGGTCCGGGATTTCCAAGTCTGGGATTTCATCAGCAAAAAATAGTTGATGGGTATTTCTGAATCCCGACGTAACAAAACACGCGGTTGTGGAAATCCTATTTGGCGGGATTTTGCCTTGCCAGCGCAAGACGACGGAATACCAATTCATGGAGGGAGTTCCACCGAAGGCTCTAGTGGGAGGTTTTGCATGGCCCCACCGTGCCGATTTCACCACACCCTTAACACGCTTCGTGGCTCCGTAGGGAGCTCTAACGAATATCCCAGTGGCAGGGACGGCATGGCTCTACCGCCTATCATGTCAGCACACCCCTCACACGTTTCGGTGCCCCACTAGGAGCGCCACCGAAGGCCCCAGTGGGAGGGTTTGCATGAGCTTCCACTTTTCATTCAGGCACACTACTTACACCCCAGGCCCCTGTTGCCCCAGTGGCAGGGTTCGCACGAGCACCCGCCTCTCATGTTGGCACAAGTCTCGCACGTTTCGTGGCCCCAAATGGAACCCCACCGAAGGCCCGAGTGGGAGGGTTCGCGCGAGTTCCTTCCTTATTCCGGCGCGCCCCTCGGATGCTTCGTGGCCCCATAGCGAGTTAAACCAAGGCCCTGGTGGCAGGGTTCCGATGAGTTTCCGCCTTTCATGTAGGCACACCCCTCACACGCTTCGTGGCCCCAAAGGAACTCCACCGAAGTCCCCCGCGGCAGGGTTCGCATGAGCCCCCAGAATGCGAAATGATGGCCCAAGACGCTGCCAAGAAACAAGTCACTCTTCCGACGGCTCTCAAGGCTCCCAGGTGGCCTCCAAGAGACCCCACGAGAGGTCCGAGAGGCGTCCCAGGATGGCCCGAAGAGGCCAAAATCGTAGAGTTTCATTGTTTTTATTTCATGTTGACGGCTTCTCACGTTTTCGAGCTTCCAACGCTCCAAGAACGCCGAAGAGCCGCCCAAGACCGCCCCAAGACCACCCAAGAGACCCTCAGGACTGCCCCAAGACGGGCCAAGGAGGCTCCAAGATTGCCCAAGAGGCCCCAAGACCACCCCAGAACAGGCCCAAGATGGGCCCAAGAGCGGGAGCAGGAGGCTTCCAGAGACCTCCGAGAGGCCTCCGGGACCCCCCAGAGGCCCCCAACACACCCCCGGTCCCTGAGAGACCCCAAAAAGACGCCGACGAGGCTCCAAGAACAGCCCAAGAGAGCTGCGAGAGCCGTCCCGAGAGAGCCCAACGAGGGTAAAATCGTTGATTTCTAATTATTTTTCTAATGTTTTTCGCCTTGTCACGTTTTCCCGCTTCAAACCCTAATCAAGAATTCCGTTTTTTTCCAAAGTGGACGCCTACTCGGAGATCCCACACATCCCCTGACATCTGGCCGGTACCGCGCCTCCCGGCTTCCCGGGGGGCCCCCAAGACGCCCAAGGACAGCCCAAGACGACCCCAAGGAGCCCCCAGAACGTACAGAACGGCCCAACACGCTCCCGCGCAGCCCGAGACACCCTTCCGACGGCTCTCCAGGCCTCCAGGAGGCCTCCAGAAACCCCAGGGTGTCCAGAAGATCCCACACCCCTGAGAGGCCCGGCTAACAAAACCCGCGAGGCACTAACAAAAAAAACGCCGAACAGCGCCGAGGAATTGGAAAACAATAGAAATCCCGCAATTCGTTTTTTTTCTCCAAGATTGGCCCCCGGTCTACTCTTGCACAACAGACCGCAATTCAGACCCCCCTCACCTCCCAAAAAAGAACCCAGGAAGCATTGGAGGGCCCCAAATCGTTGAATACCTAAAGGGAATTCATGATTTCTGCGTTTCCGTACTTCCTCTTCTATACGATTCCGAGGCTTGCGCAGGACCTCCAAGGGAGTACGCGAGAAGCGACCAACATGGGATTACATGAGTTAGCCTATCAAACCTAGCTGGAACCATCGCGCGCGCGAAGCTCGCGCGATGGTTCTAGTATATAAGTATGCATGCATGCATGCATGCATGCATGACTGTATTTTGTTGGTATGCATTTTTATATATCTATATATATATATATATATATATATATATATATATATCCACAAGACTGCAATTGGCGCTTCGCGCTATGCACCGTGGTCCTTGAAGTTTGATTTGCAGGCGGAATTGCAGGAAGGTCAAGCCGACAACTTATGTCTAACTCCTTGTTGCATTTTCCGACATCACCGTTCTAATCATGTTCTTCGTGATCCTTTTTCATGCATGCGTTTCCTCTTGTTCGCTCTACCGTGCGTATTCTCCCTCCTCAGCTCTTTTTTGCCGAGGCTCCTCTTTGAAGAGCCTCTGGAGGCTTCACGGAAGTTTTCCATGCTTTCTTGGGGCTTTTTGGAGGCCTCCTGGGCGTCTTCTGGGGGCCTCTGGGGGCTTCCTCGGGCCACCCTGCCTCTAAGAGCGGTCTCCTTGAACGACCGGGTCACGGTTTGGAATGCTTCGGAGGGTGTTTGGGGGCCATTTTGGGCCGCCATGGGGCTTTCTTAGGCCATCTTGGATCCTTGTTGTGCCGTCTTGGGGCTCTTTTGACTTCCTGGAAACCCTTCCGAATGGTTGTGGGGCGATTTTCGAGCCTCCCAGGCGGCTTCGGACACCCAAAAGACGGCCGCCTTGGAGCATAGGGAAGCCGAAAAGAAGTGAACCCCAACTGGGAACCGCGCGCTGGTTAGTATCCATATCGATGACATATATGCAGATATATGCAAGTTATAACCAACATACATGTCACATGGATGTTGGCTATGTCCGATGCATCTAGGGCAAACGGTTGTTATGTGTAGCGATGGCCATACAAAGCCATAGGCGACTTTCCAAGTCCATATGAGCGACCTAGTAAGTGGTTAAGTTAAGTAGAGCCTGACACTTAGGGAGGATAGCGCAAAGCGCTTAGCGCACGTACGCAACCAACATAGAACGGACTTACAACAAGGATAGCTAAGTCCATTTAGCTAAGTCCGCCCCGTCTGGCTAAGTCGACTTAGCTGAGGGCCCCGTATTAGGAAACTCCACCGAAGGTGAGGCCACGATCCGCGTAAGGGGTGTGCCAAAATGGGCGGCGGTGCCATGCGAACCATGCCACTGGGGCAATGGGTTGAGCTCCATATGTGGTCACGAACTGTGTGAGGGGTGTGCCGACATAGGCATGCGCTGAGCGGGGAAGGGCATGTGTTGACCGCATTCAAGACCTTATGGTCGGCGCTTTCACGACGTTAACCCCATTGTGACATTGCAAGTTAAGATAATGAGGTATACGGATAAATATTCGACACCTCATATCATCGATTTGGAAATATCATACGCGGAAATACAGGATTCAGAAATAACATATTCAGAGAATACTATATTCTGAAATAAACAGTTCATGAATACGAATACTCAATCACCTGAGGAAGTATTGCCATTAACATATTCGGACATTAATTTTTAATGCATTCGGAATTAATAGCATCATAATAGGACTTCTGTGTTCATGCTGTTTCTTCATGTACAGTAGTAACACACTTATCAATACAAAGGCAACTGTACGTTTGTAATAAATAACAAACCGAATTGCACCAGATAGCGCGCGGCTATCTGGTGCACCCGCGTTGCGTACACTATGATTCACAACAGTGATATGTTCGTGCGAAAGGCATG